TACAGTAAGATACTTTGACATTACTATTCTTTGGAACAGTGTAGCTTTACTCCCAGCAGATAAACATTTGCTGATAAGAGTTTGAAGATGACTGTCTTATTAAAAATTCAAAAACTGTCTTTTTGTGATCTAAACATCTCAGATTTTTCTAGATATCTGTATAACATCCTGAAAGGAGGATGTCTTTTTAAAGGCCATTACTGAGCAGAACATGGATTGGTGAATTTGTAGTTTATTGCATTTCAAGACCTATTTTCTTACTCCAGCCCACCTGCTGAATTCAACCCCATCTCGCACCATCGGGTCTAATCAGGGTTTCCTCTGTGTTTATGGAGCTGTGGCTGCTGGGAGGTGTGGTTCACCTAAATACCTGGCCACAGCACAACACTGAGCTTGGTGTCTATTGGCTCTCATTAGCTGTGCCACTTTGCACCAATACAGTGGGCAGGGATGCACCCAGGCTGTAGCTTTTAACTGCCTCTAACAGTGTATTAACCATTAATTCAATTTAAAGACGGAATAAGAAGGTCTTCACCTTCCCATTGCACAGAATGACCATAATGCACCTGTGAATCACTGATTACCTGGCTGGCTGCTAACAATTTGTTTTCTAGCCTCTGTTGTGGGTCAAAATCTCCCACTGAACTGTTACCACCCCACCCGCTCCAGTTATTAAGTCAGCGCAGCCTACTCATCCCTGTTGTGTGACTTTATTAAGGTGAAATTAAGCCCACAACTAACTTTAAATACCACCGTTTAATAAGGCCCACTTTACAATTTTCAAATTCTGAACTAATAGCTTTAAAATTGCTTAATAACTCCTATATGTCTCATGCAGAAGGACGATAAAATGTGTATCCAGCCCCATCTGCTCCTCGTTACGTTACTTGCTAATCGGTGTTATTAGTCCGCAGCATATGGAAACTGCCTCACCAAATGGAGTACATACTGACTTTTCTAAGCAGGAAAATATCAGTGCAAACTGATTTGAAAGCTCACATATAGAGCAACACAAATCCATAGCAGGAAACTGATTGAAGTGTTAAATTCATTGAAGTGGAAAAATCAGTTTTGTGTGCAACTTGAACGGTCTCTGAGATGAACAGTGAAATGTTTCACTCCACTGCCAACCTCTCCTGCATCGCACCACATTCAGTATTTATTTGAACATGCTGGTATAACATTAGTGTGGCATCTTGATGCCTCAGCTTGAGCTTGGCGTTAATTACCTGTGCAACCCTGCAGAGCTGCAGGCTAACTGTACAATACTGTACTGTACTAGCAATGAACTTTGTGGAATCACACAAGAACCTGAAGCAGGTTTATAGTTAGCCATGGGCAGGTGATGCCTGTATCATGTCATCCAGTTCTACATTAATAATCTGCCATATCCTGTATGGACTTTTTAAAAACAGCCCCACTGTGTGTTCCTTGTTGTCAGTTGCATTAGACATCTCTGTCAGTTGCAGCACTATCATATTTTCCTTAAAGACACACAGCCTGGTGGACGATGGGCTCAATTGCTTGTTTTGAGTTTTATTGTATGCAACATGCTGCTTATTTTCTAAATCCAGAGTAAAATAGACCATGACGCTCTACCCTAGGGTGCCTACTGCACTTCTGTTCACTCGGTTTCAAATCAGGTGAGATTGTTGTGGTTCAAACATTCAGTTCAAGGCTTTAAAAACAGGAAACAAATGAGGCTACATCCATCACTTAAATACAGTCTATGGTTAACGATGCTAATATCCCCCGTCATTGCTTTTTTTGATTTTTTTTGTGTGTTACATATAGACAACCAGTGATTAGCGATAATATCTCCTGATGAGATCGAGGCTTGCTGATGATTTCCTGCCTTAGTTGTCAGAAAAGCTTTGGGACTCACCTTTTCATCTATTCACTTCACTGTTGACTCAGTTCGGTGTAAATTGAAAATACTGTTCACCTAATAATGATGCAGTTTTCCTTCTTGACAAAACCTCCATGGATTTCATTTAAGACACCTTTTAGGGCAAAGTATTTCCATTTGAGGGTGAAGAAAATCCACTTCCTCAGCTGAATGAAGTGAAAGCGAATTACTTTAACGTTCAGCTAAGAGCCTGAGCTCAGCTCAACATTAGAGGCTGTCAGAGGTGCAGGGTGTGAAGCTGTTAAGCTTAGCGAAGTGATGGACTGTCATATTAGGAAAACTGTTTCAGTGACTGACGCCCACCTCAATGTGATATTTTTTATAACGCTGGTATTTTGGCAATTTAAATAAAAAAAATCATAGTTTTGTGTGATTATGGTTTTTCGTGCATTTGTGTTTTTGTAAAGTGTTGGGTTACTCTTCTTCCTGCCAAAGAGCTGATGTAAAGAAGGAGCAAGCCAGAGTGATTGACAGCAGTGGTCAGATGACACATTTCTTTACAGTAGGCTGTATGTAAACAGTCTTTGACTGACAGCCAGTCAGCTGGAGCACAATGCAGTCTCCTCTTGTGTTTCAGTAATGCAATAACAATTCTATCCTATCCTATTCTAACAAACTTTAATACAAAATATTTCTCTCTGAGTCACAGCAGATTGAGCTGTAGAGCTTAAAAACACAGTCATTTTCTCCTCTCAACTTTGTGCCTCTTTTACTGCACTCGCAGAGCACATGCATGAATATCAGGTGTCTTGGGAGGAGTGCAAAATCCATAACCAGCTTTGCTCTATTGTCATGGAAAATGTCAAAGATTCAGTTCTCTGTAGTCGTTAGTGGGAACAAAATCATCTGAGACAGGATGCTGTAGTGGTTACTCGGTTTCAGGCTGCATATTTCAGCTGTCTGATAAATAAATACAAAGCCTTTCCAAACTCTCTCAGCTTCCTGGGGAAACTGCGAATAACCTTCTACTGTTGTGTTCACATTAAATCTGTAGGAGAGTTGCCACTAATCGATGCAAATAGTGGCCGATATGCATCCACTCGAGTTGAAAATATCTTAACATCAGCAAAGAATTTACATGGTACTATGAGCTGGATTCTCCTGAGACCACCTTGTACCAGCCAGAAATGGAGGACAAGCTTAGTGTCACCATTTGTGAGCAGCGGGAGCTGTTTGATTCTTTTAAATAGAGACTGGAGCAAAGGGCAGAGCTTTAAGAAAATAAAAGGCAGTGGGACTTCCTGGTAGGTTCTGAGAATCTGTTACTGTTGGATATTAA